ACAAGACAAGCTGAGCTCACTTTCATACGGTCCTATCGTCCAGTAGATTTACTGAGATTTATTGAGAGTATAGAGTATAGGTACCATGTAGCACTTGACGTAGCTGTTGAGGAAATATTAGCCCAATTTCTGCAGACTGCTGAAATAGCTTTAATAGGTGCCAGACTAAAAACGTGGACAGGTGCCAAACTGTGGATGGTGAAAATTTGTGCATGTAATATTAAACTAAAATCGCTAAGGTGGTAGGATTTACTAATTCCTAAGCAGGCAAAAAAGATTCCGGCTGTTCTGTTATAGAAATAATATTATTTGAAATCAGAATCATTTTTTTTTAATTCCAATAATAGGTCATTTCTTTTGTAAGCATATCACAAAAGAATAGATTAGATTAGATTATGCTGGCAGGCCATAAAGGCCACGCGTAGACCACTAGGGTCCATTGCGATACCAGATCAGAGTCTTGTTTTAGCGATTGTAAGCATCACTTAAGATGCGCGTTTCATTAGCAAAATTTATTAAGATTCCAACAGAAACCTCAGGTATGTACTCCAGTCCTGCAAAACTGAAAGCTCCCAAGTATTTTTGTCGAGTTCTCGAGAGAGCCGGGCAATTACACATCAGATGCTCTAGAGTTTCCTTTGCATCCGGCTCATTGCATTTTCTGCAAGCATCGTTGTGAATTAGGTTTAGTTTTCGGGCATGTGATGCAACCAAACAGTGACCTGTCAACACACCAATTAATGTTCTATAGTTCCTTCGGTTTAACGATATAACATTCTTGGTGTATTTTTCTTCATATATGTGCCTACACATAATTCTAGCTGTTCTACAGGTGGTTAAGTTCCGCCATCTTACCTTTGCTCTCCTTATCATGTGCTCGTCCAGAAGTTTATGTATTTGTTTCAGAGGTCTAAGTACTTCGCTCGTTTGTTCCTCTGAAAGTTTTGCGCCATTTTTAGCAATAGCATCAACTGTCTCATTTCCCTCTATGCCTTTATGACCAGGAATCCAGTACATACAAAGTCTGCGGTTGCAGGCTAGTCTTGTTATAGCTTCCTTGCATTCTAGAACATTTTTGGATGATGACCAGTAAGATTTGATCGCCTTAATGGCTGCTTGGCTATCCACATAGAAATTTATGCAGTAGTTTCTGGTTTCATCCCTACACACAAGCTCCGCCGCTTTCTTAACAGCAAACACTTCTGCTTGGAATACACTGCAGTAGTTGGGAAGTTTAAACGGCATTCTTATGCTCAATTCCGCACAATATATGCCAGCTCCTACTCCCACTTCCATCTTTGAACCGTCTGTGAAAACATTTATTGTGTTGCATTTTGGCACCATGCCTTTTTTTCATCCTTCGGTTTCGATCACAGTTTTTATTGTTGCTCCGGGGTACATGATCGGAATCATATAATCCGAATCAAGAGTGGCGTTCTGATTTACAACGTTATGCCCGAAAGATCTTCGAGTAAGTTGCCCAGTAATGCGTAGCCGTTCGGCTGTTTTTGCCGCCATATTCTCGGCAAAGATATCAATTGGGGGTAAGTTTAGTATAGCTTCTAGAGCTGCCGTCGGAGTTGTTCTTATTGCACCGGTGATGCACATCGCCACGTGTCTTTGGACCTTTTCCAGGGGTTTTATATATGTTTTCTTTTTCACAACTGTCCACCAAACTAATATACCGTAAAGTAATATAGGTCTAACTATAGCCGTGTAGCACCAGTACATAAGACCGGGTGAGAGACCCCATGTACTTCCCAGCATCCTTCTACATGCGTATAAAGCATTTGTTGCCTTCTTTACCCGTTCTTCTACATTAGGCTTCCACGCCAGTTTGCTATCCACAATTACTCCAAGGTATTTCGTTTGAGTTTTCAGTGGCAGAAGAGTTCCGTTCAAGTTAGGTGGCGTCCATGCTGTGACCTTGTACTTTCTTGTGAAAAGTATTGTGTCAGTTTTTTCTGCGTTTACGCTTAAGCCAGCGTCAGTCGCCCAGTTGTAAATTGATTTGAGAGCGTCGCTCATTAACGCACTTAGAGTAGAAAGGCATCTCCCCGTTATAACTACTGCGATGTCGTCCGCATATGCAATTAGTTTCGGAGCTTTACCATCAAATTGTTTAAGAATTTTATTGATTACCAGTAACCAGAGAAGGGGTGAGAGAACGCCTCCCTGCGGGGTTCCTCTACATGTTTCCCTAGCTAGAGTTGTATCGTTCCATTCTGCCCTTATCTGTCTGCAGCTTAAAAGGCTTGCAATCCATTGATATGTGGCTGAGTCTATACCAACATCATCTAAGCTATTTAAAATAGCTTGCGTTGATACATTATTGAAAGCACCCGCAATATCCAGAAAAACTCCTAGAGCGTATTCTTTGTATTCTAAGGCCTTTTCAATATTAGAGACAAGTGTATGGAGAGCAGTCTCCGTGGATCTGCCCTTAGTATAAGCGTGTTGTGCTCTTGACAGAACTTCAGGAGCTAATTGGTCTCCTATATGTGCTGCTAGTATTTTTTCAAAAATTTTGAGAATAAAAGAGGTAAGACTAATTGGCCTATAATCTCTAGAGTAGAGGTGACCATTTTTTCCTGCTTTCGGAATAAAAATGACTCTTGCCACTCGCCAGTTTACGGGTACGTAATTATGCTTCAGGCATCCTCTAAAGATATTTATCAGCCATGTTTTTATTAGGTCCGAAGCCTTTTGTATCATAGCTGGATAAATACCATCAAGTCCAGGAGATTTGTATGAAGCGAATGATTTGATTGCCCATTTCAGCCTCACGTGAGTAACAATATTTTTTCCTGCGGAGCCTACTATATTCCTGACCGGTTCGGTATTGCTCACAATTGCACAGCCAGGAAAGTGAGTGTTAGTAAGATCTACAAGTGATTCAGTGTTAGTTTTTGTCCATTCGCCGTTTTCCTTCCTGACAAGGTTAGGCATAGTTGGGTGTTTGGATAGTAGTTTTCTAAGCCTAGCTACCTCCACCGTCTTTTCTATACCTGCGCAAAAATCCTTCTTTTCGCATTTCGAATGTCTTTTTTGTATTGCTTAAGAATATCTCTGTACTCTTCCCAGATGACTTCACTTTCTGCTAGCTGAGCCAGCTTGAAGATTTCGCGAACGTAGCGTCTTTTTGATCCCAATTCCTTATTCCACCAAGGAGGTTGAGATCTACGTTTTTTACGCATTGGCGGGCACGCGATATGGTACGCTATAGTTAGGGCTCTGGTAAGTTGGTCAAGCCTAGCTTCCAGATCCACGTAAGAATCAATTGTCGTAATTTTTTTCAGTCTCTGTTTCAGAATTTTTCGATAAAGGTCCCAATTCGTTTGTTTGGGATTTCTTACAACTTTTCTGCTTTTAAGGTACTGAGAATCTATTTGGAAACTAATATATTTGTAATCTGAAAATGATGGTTCGTTAAGAACCTTCCATTCTATCACCTGTACATTATCTTCCGTGAAGAGTGTTATATCTAGAACGTTTCTGGAGGTCGGTCCAACATAGGTCGGTTCCTCTCCTCTGTTAGCTACACTAAGCCTACTTTGTATTATGTAATTAAAAAGAGACTCACCTCTGTCATTGATGTCAGTGCTTCCCCAAAGCGTATGATGTGCGTTGGCGTCAGTACCGATTATCAGACTTTGCTCTCCATCGCCAGCTAAATCTACCAGCCTTTGGAGTTCTTCTGATGGTATTTCTTCCTCATGTGGCATGTAGCAAGACGCGAGAAGTATGTTCCTATCGCCGTCAACCGCCACTACCGTTAGATCTTCTGTAGAGAGAGAGTTTACAATATAAGAATTAATACCTTTCTTTACTAGTATAACAGTTCTTACCCTTGTTACCCCATGTGGAATGAATGTGTTATAGTTTCGTGAGTTTAACCCAGAGACCAGGTTGCCCGAGGCCAGCCATGGTTCCTGAATTAAAGCCACATCTTAGCCGCCCTCTTCTAGATTAAGGAGGAGCTCAGCTGAGGCAATTTTACTTCGGTGGAGGTTTATTTGTAGAATCTTTAGCATGAGCTTCCGATTCTTCCCCGGGGTTGGTTTCAGCACTCATCACACCCGGTTCCTCTCCTTCGCGAAGATTGAGGGACGAGCTTAGGATTTCTTCAATACCGAGATCCTCCTCGATTTCTTCCGCAGCGAGGGTATTAGAATTCCTATCGGTTGGGTGTCGTTTTTTGAGGCGAAGGTACACGCTCCCTACTCCCCACGACATCTTCCCGTATCGTGAATACAGAATGTCCTCGGCCATTTTGTTGATTAATAGGATGTAGTTTTGTCCCTCGCCTTCTTTAGCTGGCTTGAGGACCTTTAACACCTTCCAATCGCTTGTTGGCACATCCGGATTCTGTCGTTGTAAGAGACGAAGAGCATCCTCTGGTTTCACCACTCGAGGTATAAGAACCTTCGCTTTGGGCAAAGACGGGATATCTTTCCTGTCCACAACTTCCAAAGATGCCCCTTCCCATAGGCCTTGGAGCGTTTTAGCTGCCTCCCTTAACCAGTTCAGGGTAGAGTCGTCTTTACACTTCAGTAATTTCACTCCGTTGAACCAGCCGGCCCCGTCGAATGATGGCATTGGAGCTTCTGGTTCCGCGCTCATTTTGGCGAACATAGCATCTAATAGCTTCATTTCCACTATTTTCCACCTAGTTTCTACCATTTGACCCTGTGGATCACTGCGGTCGATAAGTGTCACAATCAAGCGTCGCTTGGCCACTATCTCCGCCATTGTTAGTTTAGATGTAGACGCTTCCTGTTCTTTTGGATCACTGGCTTTCGTCTTTTTTGTTGTTGTTGCTGCTTTAAATGTGGACGCTTCCGGCCTTTTAGTAGTATCGGCTTTCGTCCTTTTTGTAGCAGTTTTATGTTGAGGGGCAGCCTCATCTTTGCGCTTTTGCCTCTTTCCAGAAGGACCTTCGCTTTCCGTTGAGCGCTACCTTTTACATGCCATATCTTCCTCGATTCGATTTGCGAATTTGGAATCCGAGGGTTCACACCACCTTTTACCTGCGAAAAAAGGACCGACCTTTCTCTATCTCCTCTTTTGCCCAGACTAGCCTGTCCTCCTCTTCCTTCGACAGATCATTCCGGTCTCCGAGGCGAGCACAGAGTTTTATCGCAGCCTTATATCTGGATTTGGCTTTCAACCCCTCCTTATTTGGTTCAGCCCTAGGCCTACGAATGGCCTTAGCAGCTTCCCCCGGAGAACGAAGAAGAGCTTCCTCCTCAATTGTGTTGACGCTAGCAACGCTCTCGTGATCCGAGTCTACAGGGACTATGGCATCACTGCGTTGCATTGAATTTTTGTTTTTTGAAATTGCGCCTTTGTGACCCAAGTCTACAGGAACTTTGGCATCACTGCGCTGTTGTTTGGCAGTAGTAGTACAACTACTGGAACCTGCTCCGATCCCAGCAGAGGTGCAGTCACTGGCGACGCGGCTTATAAAATCACCGCGCCCGCCGGTGGTAGCAACTGCGCCTCCCACCGACGTTTGGGCTGATATCCCAGCCCGATTTTCTTCATTCTTCAACTCCATTTGGTTTTTTATGGAAAAACCTACCATTTTGCATTTTTGTCTACTGCCAGACACCTCAAAGTTATGACTAGGGAAGGGGCTCACCTGCACTGACCCTGTTGATACCACGACCACTACACATGAGACTCTTCCTTCATCTTAGCTAGACACATCACAGTCCTTGACAAGCCGCATCATGTTCCTCAGCTACAACATCCGAGAGCTTCATGACTCGAGTTGCCAAAAAATGGATGATGCCCATTGCCCGGTCAGCACCCACGGGGAGGGTTTACAACGAGGATTTTCGCCGACCACAAAAGAATAACTGATCTTTTAAAAAATAACATATGAAACCACAACACTGCTGACTTATTTAGTCCAACCTTTTTAAAATCGCCCAAATAATAAGCGGCTCAAGTCGTATGGTTGCCAAGACTAAAAATTCGTCTATTCTGAACGAGTTTTGGAATTACGTACAAAATTTCCAGTTAACTGTGAACAAAAATTTAACTAATAATGCTCAACTCTTCTTTAATTTACTGAAATTGAAAAATTATACTTAATTATTGAAAAAGTCAGACAATACAAATTTTGTTAATAATTATTTAAAAAAAAAATATTCTTACCGATAATTGTAAAAAAGTACTATTCATTTTCGAAACTTTAAGTTCGAATTTTATTGCGTGTTTTGCATTTATAAGCCTAACAAAATTTCCGGTTCTTCCAGAGTTGCCATTAAAAGTAGTGCTTATTTTATGTTGTTCATTTGCGTCATACTTACAAAAGAAAAGGTCTAATGTTAATATCATTAACATTCATAGAAAAACTATGAGTAAAATAACTAAAAACCTATTCAATTATACAATAATAGATATTTTTTAAAAATTTCCTCCTTAGCCGTTACGTCTTATCACATTAGTTACACATCGGTTGGCATTAGAATTTTAAATGTCATGGGAAACCAATGCCAATAAAGCAATATTTTCTACTGACCATAGAGAATGAACTTTTTTTTTAATTAAGTATAAGACACAATGTCCAGAAACCATAAATAAACCATCTGAAAGTAACAAGTAGGGAGGGGCTTTAAATTTGCTACTCAACATGTGAACAAACCAAATCAAAAACAATATAAAATACATTAAACATAATAAAAGACAATAACAACAAAAAACAAAAACAAAAACGAAAACAGTTACAATTTGCAAACTAAAATAAAAGGAAATGGAAACAAATGAAATGAGATAAATAGTAAAAATGCTGAAATCACCTCTCCAAATCAATTTCCAATAAGAAACACTAGCAAGGACATCTGACCCAGTAAGCAAAGTAAAGTAAAGCAAAGCAAAACAAAATAAAACAATACAATAACAATAACGGTCCTGCAAAAAATAAACAAGAAGATAAACAAGCATACACACTCTCACAAAATCTCCAATACTTCTACACTACACCACGTATGTGTAATTCGTTTACTTATGTGACTGTGTAAACAGAGGCATGCATTTTGCTAGAGGATCCATTTTTATAATAAATATCCTCAATATTAGCAATACCAGTAGCAACAACAATGTATGTAACAATACCAACGACAACAGTTACAATAACAGCAACAGCAATAGCAACAGCAACAGCAACAAAGTCAACAACGATAACAACAGAAATAATAACAACAACAGCAACAACAATAGCAGCAACAATAACAGGACAATCGAGAAATCGAGGGGAGCAAAAATAACAAAATAAACCGAAACACAACCAAACCAAACTAAAACCAAAAAGAATTTTATTACAAACTCAAAAAGGATATTGACTTTTATGCGGGCTGAACGAGCATGAAGTCGTTACACCAGCCCGTAAGGATACATGAGAACACCAATTTAGCAACTAGTATCCTTGGCATCGATTTATGCCCACATACAAATGGGCATATACCCATACATGTGTATTCAGAGCAGATACATTTTTATTATGTTACCATCGTCTTATCGCCTTCAGCTTTCAATGCCGAAATGGGCATAAAGCGTGCAAAGATGTCAAAAAGTATTTTGCAAAATATATTTTCGTTTATCGAATGAGTAAGTTTTATGAAAATTAAAAGTATCTGATTTCCATTATACGAGATTAAGTATCTGATACTCAATTCGAAACGAATTTGAAATTTTGATCGGCCTTATGAAGCGCAACACTGACACCAACACCGTTACCGACAACAACAACAACCACAATAACAGAAAATTGTTCATTTATACTGAAGATTGACTTTTTATTAAGGGAAAATTAATACCAGGAGGTAAAGAGATCTTGAGTACTGTTTAAATGAAATGAAATGTGCTTAAGGTAATAGTAGTGTTAGTATAAGGATTATTTTTAGATTTTGGGAAAATAGTTCATATATCTAAACATGCCTGTTAGCGGTTAACACTTTTTGGACAGTAATAAGAAAACTTACTCTTTTTTAAATGAAAAACAATTCTACTAAAATAATATTTGGCCTTTGACTATCAAAATATCGGTGTAAATAGAATACATTTTTAAAGCTAATTGAAAAGCATATAAGTAAGAGAAAAAAAAAAAAATTTTCCACTATCCTTCTAAAATTAACCGCAAACGCATCGAACCAAATCCTTTAAAAGTCCCTTTTTCTTCCCAACAAAACTTATTTTTAATTTAAAAAATTTTTATTCTATGATTTTATATTATATAGATAAATAATAAATGTTTATAAAGTAAATACCCGAAGCAATAAAAACAAAAAAAAATAATATTTTTTAAATAATTTTTAATTTCTTAACAAGTGAAAGTGGGCTCACCGTAGAGCTATTCTGCCAAATATTCATTATCAGTGATATTTTGGAAGCAACTATTGGTTTAATTTCTTACAGCTGTGTTATACAACTCAATGGTACATCACAAATGAAAACATACATAAATACTTGAGACCCCGGAATGTGCAAAAGTATTCCACTGTTTCTTAATCAAATGCAATATATATTTCGTTAGGAAGATATGCTGAGCCTCAAAGTTTACTTCTATAAAATCATCTGTACAGCTTATTATCAGAATTCAATGGAATATTCATAGACACTATTGAATTAAAGTACTTTAGACACTAAATCGCGGTTCATCGAAAAAGAAGAAGAAGAAGTGTGATCCTAAATACACAAAGTCATTGAACGCTTAAAT